AAGTGCAGTGGCATGTACCTGTAGTCTCAGCTACTGAAGAGGCTGAGGTGGGAGAACTGCTTGAGACCAGGAGTTTGAGGTTGCAGTGAGCTATGATGACGCCACAGCACTCTCCCTGGGGTGACAGAGCAAGACTCTGTCTCAAAAAAAAAAAAAAAAAATGCAAAGCCTCATGGACCTCTGTTCTTGGAGAAAAAGTCACTAAGTGTTCTTTTGACCACTTCCTTACCTAGCATTTAGCCCTGATCCCCTGCTCCCACTCTCTATGATGCAGAGAAGCTTCTGTCTTCCAAACCCAGGCACTAGCCCAAGGCTCATTTGTACACCATGGTGGACTTATCAAAGCAAATTTTCAATTAAGCAAGGTCTCTCTTTACAAAGGAATTTTCTCCTATGAAAATGAAAAATGTTCCTGCATGTTATGGAATCTTCAAGGTTCAATTTCATGAGGACTTTTGGATTTTCTCAGGGAAAAGGAAGTGCTCCCTTACTAGGCAGTAATTATTTATATAGGTGACTGAACCCCTTTTTTACACTAAGCTCTTCTATGGCAGGGAACATTTTCATTCACCTATACACTCACTGTAGTCCATCTAGCCATGTGCCAGGAAGTGCTCAACAAGTATCTATTAAATTGGATGGATGTGGTGTAAGACCACATTATGAATGTATTTAGCCCTAAGTGGCTACAAAATAGTTAGTAGCAGCATAAGGAGTGGAACACAGCAGTCAGGGAATGGAGCATACAGTGTCCCTTCCATTAACATGTCAAAGGGCTCTTTATTGCTGACAGAGCACAAATCAGTGAGACTAGCATTCATGGCCTTCTAGAATGTGGCTTTAGGTTATTTTCCTACTTTAATGCCCAGACAACCCCCAACACACTTTGCATTGCACTCCCACCCTACTTCTCCCTATTCCCTAAATATACCTTACACTCTCCCCCCTCTGTGCCTCTGTTCATTTCCTGTCTCCCTCTTTGATTATAAAAACCCTACCCAACCATAGCCCATAGTAGGGTTGCCAGGGAAAGCTACCTGATGTCTAATTGAGTAATTCTCCATTCTAGTTGCACATTAAACATTTGGGGAGTTTTAAAAAATCACGATGTCTAGACCCCATCCAGCTCAAGTGAATCAGACTCTCCGGGGGTGGAGCCGAGGCATCGGTATTATTTTGAGAGCTCCCAGATGATTTTACCAGGCAGGCAAGGTTGAAAACTATGAGTGGTTGTTGGAGATTTGGGCCAATATTTTTCTCTGGTTCTAATCTATGACAAAGGAGAGAGAACAAGATAATATGGGTAAGAGTTATGGATTTCTTTTTTTTTTTCTTTTTGTATATATTTTATAATTTCCACAGTGCTTTCACACACGCATGCACACTTTTGCACATCCCACATCCACTACAGAATCTGGACATTAAGCCTGGGGCCATGTGTTCACTATGTGAGTGTAAAGAACAAAATGGCTACAGAAGCACTATGTGAACATGCAGTCATGGTTCTGGCTGGATGGAACATCACCCCACCAGGTTCCCCACTCCCCTTTCACTGCTTTGGGCTCTGGTTTCACCAAGAACACAATGACTGTGGTACCTTCTGGGTATGAAAAGATAAAAAACTTGCTAAAGTAGAACTGGTCATCTCCCCACACCCCTACCCCACCACATACCAACCTGAACTGACCAACCAGAGGAAAACCAAGGGGAGGGTTTCTTCCTGGTTTGGATACATTCCACTTGAGGCTCCACCAGGCATGGTGAAGTGGAATTCCTTCTAGTATATGTGACTGTAAAGAAATGAATTCTTGAAATGGAGACTTTGGAAAATAAGGGCGAGCATGTACAGAGTAAAAACGTGGGCCCAGTAGTCAGCAGATTGGAATCCCCGGCCTTGCTCTGCCTACCTCCAGGCATGTGAGCTGGGCAAGTCCCCCTGCTTTTGTCAGCCTCGATTTTCTCCTCTGCAAAAGGAGTGTCTTGGTCTGTTTGTGCTGGTATAATAGAATACCTGAGACTGGGTAATTTATGAAGAACAGAAAATTAATTTCTCATGGTTCTGGAGGCTGGGAAATCCAAGATCAAGGCACTGGCAGGTTCAGCTTTCTGGTGAGGGCTGTTCTCTGCTTTCAAGATGGTGCCTTGATGCTGCATCCTCCAAAGGGGAGGAACACTATGTCCTCACATGGCAGAAGGGACAGAGAGTGAAAAGGGGCCAAATTCCCTCTGTCAAGCCCTTTTATAATGGCATTAATTTATTCATGAGGGCAGAGCCCTCATCACCTAAATACCTCCCAAAAGGTCCCACCTCCCAACATTGATACATTGGGAATTAAGTTTCCAACATATGAATTTTGAGAGGCACATTCAGACCATAGCAAGGAAGATGCTGGTTTTGACAATTTTAAGGTTCCCTCCAGCTCTAAATATACATAGATTCTAAGTCTTGAAGTAGTACATGAGAAATCTATTGAGACTCTGTGAACAAGTCCTAAGAAGCTAAATTCTCCAGAACGCTGCTTCTATATTTGCTCAGACAATATATTGAAATGAACACTAGATAGGACACAAAGAACAAGTTCAGGTCCCAGTTCTCCCTTGAACTTGCTCTATGTGCTTAAAAAAGTCACATTTCCTCTCTGAGCTTTAGTCTTCTTAGCCATGATGTGAATACTAGAATAAATCACCTTTACTGTCTCTTTCAACTCTGCCATTCTAGGGATGTTAGGTGTCCTAGTGGCTGAGAATTCATGTCACAATGATGGTGAAACTTGAACATAAGCATTTAAAACATGAAGGAAATATCAGAATTAAAGAAAGAAAAAAGAGAGGAAGGAAGGGAGGGAGGAAGTGAGGAAGGAAGGAGGGAAGAGAGGAAGGAAAGAATTCACAAATAAAATTTAAATTCCAGATATATTTTATCCAATTAAGAAAACATACCATTCTATGATAAGGACATCTGCACCCGAATGTTTATGGCAGCACAATTCACTATTGCAAGAATGTGGAAACAACCCAAGTGCCCGTCAATCCATGAGTGGATTATCAAAATTTGGTATATGTTTACAATGGAATATTACTCAATCACAAGAAATGACAGTGATCTAGCACCACTTACACTTTCCTAGATTAAACTTGAGCCCATTATCCAAAGTGGGGCGAACGGGATCCATTTGTACTCACCATCAAATTGGTATTAACTAATCAACACATAAATGCACATATCAGAACAACATCTATTGGATGCTGGGGAAGGGGGAGGGCGGCGGGAGGAGGGGGGAGGAGGAAGGAGGAGACGGGTATTGGTATACACAAGGAGTGCAATGCTCACTACCCGAAGGATGGACAGATTTGAAACATGGACTTGGGGGGGGGGAACCAAGGGCAACACACGTAACCTAAACATCTGTACCCCATAATATGCTGAAATAAAAAAAAAAAAAAGAAAACATACCTATAGTTGCATTTTAGTTTAAATATAGAAATTGTATCACATTTCAGAAAGAATGTTTTAAGTCTTCAAAGGAACAAGTATGTTGTTTCCAAAATCAACTCCTTTTGTGGTTTAAAAGAAAGGGCCTTTTCCCCTGTGAACCAATGTAGCTTTTTTAGAACTAACCAGATAAATAAAAGCATATTTTGCCAATTTTTACTGATAAATAATCACCATGTCTCAGATTCTTAGGTCTTATTTTTTCTTTTAGTTCTTTATCCATTTGATCTTTTTAAAGAGCCTTTCAAGGATGTGCACTCTTTCGCTTGATACTTGAGGGCCGTGTGATCTGGCTTCAGGGTTTCAGCCTCACCCCTCCCTGCTCTCCTACACATACCCCAGGGTCCACCTTTATTGACCCAACTACTGCCTGTTTCCCATCTATCCTTCACCGTTCCCACCCCTGGCCCTTTGTTGGTCCTTTCTCACTCCTGCTTCTGTATAAATAAGTCCTTCAAGACTCAACCCAATTCCACTGCCTCCTTGAAGCTCCTTCTGATTTGCTAAGCTAGAAACAATCCTGTCCTGAAATCCCCATCCCACATTATTTCTCTCTGTCTAGTGGCACTTAGTGTTTTCAGCCCTGCAATAAGGTTTCTAGAATACAACCTTCCTGAGAGCAAAGTTTGTGTCTGAGGGCAACACACAGCACAGGGCCTATGAGGCCAGGCCTGGCTGTTGGACAGACCTGGGCTTAAATCTTGGCTCTGCTGCTGGTTACTGGGTGACCTTAAGCAGACTACTTGACCTATTAGCTTCAGTTTACTCCTCTATAAAAGGTGGATACTACCTACTTCATAGGGTTAGGGTGAGACCCAGTGTGATAGTATATGTAAAATAACTGTTAATATAGCACTTACAATATGTCAGACACTTACAAGCACCTGATAGCTATTAAACCCATGGCACTCACAGCAACTATTCGTAAGCCCCACTTTACACATGAAGAACCTGAAGCACAAAGAGCTTAAGGGTCTTGCTCAAAATTAATCATACAGCTACTAATAGCAAATAGCTAGATTGGCTCCACAGTCCACATACTTCGCTACTGTGCTATATTGTTTCTGTTCTATAACTGTTTATTATTTTTATCTGTAATTTGAATTTTTTTTTTTGAGACAGGGTCAACTTCTGTCGCCAGAACTACAGTGCAGTGATGTGATCATAGCTTACTGCAACCTCACACTCCTGGGCTCAAGCTGTCCTCCTGCCTCAGCCTCCCAATAGCTGGAAGTACAGGCACACACCACCATGCCCAGCTAATTTTTTCTAATTTTTTCAGAGACAGGGTCTCACTCTTGCTCAGTCTCCAACTCCTGACTTCAAGCAATCCTTCTGCCTCGGCCTCCTAAAGTGCTAGTATTACAGGCATGAGCCACTGCTCTGGGCCTAACAAACATTTGAATTTATTTTCTTACAGAAGCTAGCACACTGTTGGCATGAAGTAAATGCTCAAGAAATAATTATTTGAATGAAGTGACTCAACATTTAATTTGAAGAAATTCACCTGGTTAGATGCATTTTTGCTGTTACATGATTAGCCACTTGAATGACACCTTTGTAGTGAGCCAACAAACAACTGGTGCACCTGAAGGGCTTTTTGTTTTCCCTACAACCCTCTTAAGTGAGCCTAAGATACATTGCACTGGCCCTTGGAAGAAAATATTTCATTTTAAAAATTATTCTTTTTCCAAAAAAATGTGAACAATACTGAAGACATCAAAATATTTCAAAGGGAGAATAATGTCAGAAAAAGATTACTATTTTGCTGTGCGACCTTAGGCAAGTCTCTTAGTCTTAGTCTTAGAGGTCATGTCTCCTAGACTTACTCTCTTCATCTGTACAATGACATAGCTGAACATTATGATCTTTAAGCTCCAACATTTTGTGATTCCATGTTACAGGTTTCTTTCTTCTTTTGATACCTCGAGATGTGCCTTAAGGCACACAGGACGCAGAAATATAGAAAGTTGACTTATACAGGCTGTATTTGCCAAATGCAAAGAAAAAAATAGAAATAAAAGCATTTTTACTTAGAGTTATCATTTCCATTACTACTCATAAATTTGCACAGTATTAGTAGTAATAGCTGCTACTGTAAATTTAATAATATCTTTGTGTTTATACAAGATTTTCAAGATTTTTCAAAGGCTTTCACCCCCATTGTCTACGCAGCTACAGAAGTAAGAGTGGAAAAGAAAAAAAAAGAAAAAATCACCCCCAGTGTTAAGAGGTCTCCAGACTACCGAAAAACATTGCAAAACATGAAAGACAGATGTAAAGAAAGCCTGAATTTTACCCGTACATCTAGCATTCATTAGACATCCATTATTTCTAAGTTCTGTAAAGAAACTTGAAAGACACACCCTAGACTCAAAATTCTTGCCACTTAAAAAGTAAGACATGCAAACATATACAGCTACAAATTAAGAGTGTGAAAGTATTGTGCAAACATTGGCCTTCCTAAAATGTCCTGGGAACCAGGCAAGAGGACGAAAGGTCATTCCAGGATTTTCCTGCCTTAATAGTAATCTCTTCCAAGTGTGTGGTACCTTAGAGTTTCCAGAACATTTCACATGATTTTCCTAATTTAATCCTTAGAACAGATATACACATCGCCACCACCACCAACTCCACATCTTATTTTCCAGATGGGGAAACTGTGATTCAGAACTATAAAAAGACTTGCCTTAAGTCAAACAATTAGTATAAGGCTGATGCAAAATTCAAATTCAGGTCTTCTGACTTCAAATCTTGCTTCCTTGTCACTTTTTAAATTGGTATCTGAGGTCAGTGTTTCATGGCAATGGGAGGGTAAGTAAAAGGCTGCGGAGATTTTGGTTATAGTCAGGAAGAGTAAGAGAGAACAGGTGTGCTTAGGTGAGGCAGGAAATCCCAGATACATGAAGGAAAGAATGATTGGCCTTAGTTGCTTAGTTGAAAAACATTTTTAACTGGAAAGACATTTTTATCTCCATCTATAGATGAGAAAACGGACCTGGAGTGATTAGTCCAAAATCACGTAGCTCGTGGCAACCTCAAGGTTCGAAACCAGCTGTGTCTGACTCTAAATATAGTGATTAAAAGCCTGCATTTTGGTTTGAGCTCTGCTCTGCACATAGATGTTGGTTCAGTCAGCTCCCGAAGCCTGGTGTTCTTGTGTGAAACTAGGTTAGTAATAGCAATCACTGGTAAGGTTTTCTTGTATGTAATAGGTGAGATAATTCCTGTGATGCACTCAAGACAGGATCTGGCACGTAGAAAGTGTTCAGTACATATTAGCTACTAAGATTATTTGCTAGACTTTACTCCTCTGAGTATCACTCCTCTGCTCCTCAAGGCCTTTCCAGAAAGGTACAGTAAATTTGAGAAATTGGGGAAAAAATATGATCAGGTAGAACAGATGCGTTTATAGCTGTCCAGCTCACATTGACCTTCTCCCTGGACTGTCTTTGATCCACAGATGCAGACTGGGTGGATGGAGCAGAACTGAGGTAAACACTGATCTCAACAAAAACGTTCAAATTCTCCCTCCTGGGAACTTAAAATCGGGATCAGAAAAAACATGACAAGTCTTGCATATTTCTGGAACTATTACATGTAAACCTGAAAGTGATAGGATGGCCATATGCCACGGCATCAACTGGGGAGGCAAAGGTAGACAGTTTGCAGAGAGAGAATGAAGCCAGTCTACAGAGGAAGGCGGAAACTAGAGAAAGTTCACTGCCTCAGTCCCATCCTTAGACCCAGCCATAACCCTTTCCTTGGGTTCCACCTTGTTCCATTTCCTCTTTGTTGCTTAAGCTGGCTCAAGGAGTCCCACCTATTGCAGCAGCGTCTGTGACCCGGTAGCTCACACTATGTTGGAGTCCAAACCCCAAAATCTCCGCTGGGTCACAAGACTTGCCTATTCAGGAAAGAGGACATGGAAGCTGCATAGCCAAGCACCCAGAGGAACACGTAAGCCAACCTGTGTCTGGATGGAGGCTGTGTAATAAACCTATTTCAGATGATCTGGGCTTTAAAGATTTAAGTATTTTTATATAAAAATACTGCCACCTAAGATTTCACAGGTTTCAACTTGACTCTGAGCCACAGCCATCGCTGACATTCAGCCATGCCCAGTGCAGGCAAGATAGCAAGGGTTTGCGCAGAGGAGTGAAGAGCCACCTTGGGGGAAACTAAGGCTAAGGGAACAGCACATTAGGTGGACAGTCTTGCTGCAAAAATAAAGCCTTAGTCACCAAAGGGGAGAAGCAAACCCTAGTTCAGTGTTGTTTCTGCCAACCCAGTTCCCGATGACATCTCTTCTGAATCCTGTGGAGCAATGTAGGAGTATTAATATATATGGAGGCAGAGGGGTGTTGTGAGGAAAAACCATACTAAGACTCTCTAAGACATTGGGCTACCAGCAGAACATCAGAGAAAAGCATTCATTCTACCCACCACATCAAACCTCATAGTGCCTTAAACACCTCTTGGCAGTGGTGTCAGGTGGAAGACTATGGTGCATAGCAAAAATGGCTCACTAGGGAGCTTTGACAGAACAAGCTGGACACCCTGTAGAAACCCAGAGGACAAAGTGTCTGATACACATGCAGCAACCCCTGTGGCTCTCAGAAATAATTGGGGTAGGGAAGACTTTTAAAATAATACCAGAAGTACTGCAAGAACAATTAAGGGTAGGGGGAGGTGGGAGCAGTAAAGCACAGGTTAGAAATGGCAATAACTCATGGGACATAAAAATGCACTCAGTGACCACAGAGATTGGGACCAGATGACCTGAAAGAATTTAATGAGGCTGAAAATTCAGGCCAGTGATGTGAAGTGCAGATGGCTGCTGAATTGCCGGACTGAGAGTCATCCAATCTCTTTCCCCTTAATGCAAATGGTAACCTCAGTGATATACAAAGAGCTTGCTCCTACTCTATTTGAATATCACTGCACACATTCTCATTAGAGACTCAGAGAGCGGAGAGCATGCCAGCCAGGGCAGGAGAAAAACAAGACTCCACTTGGATTTTCCTGGTACCAAGAATGGTAACTGGTATAATATTAACTCTGAGATACCTGACAGGGCATTGAGTGCCCTGGGGATGCAGAAATGTGTGGGCATTCTACTCATAAGGGGGAAGCAGATCCTAGGAGAGGCCATTGTGGCAGAGCGGGATTTTGTGGTCACACAACTTGGAGCCAGAGAGACCCAACCTCAAATTCACAACTTACCAATCACATGACTTTCAGCATGTTAATTAACTTCTCTGGTCTCTAGTTTCTCTTTCTGCAAAACTGGGATAATAATATATAAAGGAAATAGTTACATAAAGTACCTTTTACTTTTCCTTTTATAAACTACATTATAAGTCTCTTAATCCCAATATTATTATTCTTCCCATTCCTTCTTTTAGAACTCAAATGCCCAGGGGACCAGACAGGTAACCCAACTGAGCATGGGGCCAAGTGAGGCCCCCGGGGCACACAGTAGAGCACCTGCCCCCTGCATCAGAAGAGGCTTCCCTAAGATTCAGTCTACCCTTGCCCATGGAAGTACCACCCCAGGATTATCAGACGTAATTTGTCAAGAGAAGCCAGAAATCTGGAATTTCGTGTGATGTCTCTTATTTCAAATGTTGCAACCAATTCAAATTTTATACTAACACATTATAAGGCAAATCCACAACGAGCTGCAATCAGCCCATGGCTTGTATCCTCTGGCTTCTGAGGGAGGAGATAACCATGACAGTCCAGCCTTAACCTCTCTTCAGAAACCAGTTCAAACCTCCCAAGGCGTCCTTGCCTCCCCTGGCACAGAAGGTCACACCGAGGGAGAAGGGAAGACGGGACTCAGGTATTGTTTCTGTGGCTCTCCAAAGGGGATCTTGATTATACACATTGCATCAAGGGCTCCCATGTCCCATGGGCAGTTCTCAGGTGTCCCAGGAGATGACATCTCCTCAGCTCCCATCTTCCCACACCAGGGCTCAGGTGCTATGGCACCGAAGTCCCACCATGCATGTGATTGCATGTTCTAATTTCCTGGTTCTCTTCTGGATGGTCCCACCGCTCCTGTGAGAATTGAGCAGTAGAAAGATCCTTCATGCAAAGCCAAGGGATTGTATTTACAAAGCTTGTCAGGGGATTGATTGATTTTGACATTATCTCTCAGGCTGCTCAAGCTGAAATGAGAAGCAAATTATCTTGGGAATCAGGTAAAGGAGGAAATGTCACTGAGAGAGACCAGCCACAAACAAATGCAGATGGAGGTCCCTGGAGAAACACTGGCGGCAGAGAAAGTCAACACATTACAATAAGGTCATGGCCTCGGTGGATTAAAAGGCTATCAAATTCACAAAGAACATGATGATAGTTTAACAAATTCTAGTCCAGTAGAGAAGGAGTACTCTTCCAAGGGTTTATCTTCAATAATCAGACAATATTAAAATCGTCTATGGCTAGCATTGCAGGCAGAGTGAAAGGAGAGAACTCACATGTGTTAAACACCTACTGTATTCCATGCATGATGATTTTTTATATATATATATATTTAGCTATGAGATGTGGCCCAAGTTACTTAATCACACTGAGACTCAATTTGTATCTGTAAAGTAAGAACTTATAGTACCTATCTTGTAGGTTGATTACAGAAAATAAAACA